CATGATTCATTCGATTTGTAACTAGTCATGTTTTGTAAAAAATTTAATTACAAACATTTCTTTCCTTTTCCATTTTCGCCTAAAATCAACTCTTTCGAATTTTTTTAACATATTGTGCCGCCAAAAGTTAAGCCCACGTTTTTTTTATGCGCATAGAAAAATTTTAATTTCTAGTGATATTTGAAAGCCAAAAAGCTAAAAATCTCCGTGGATATACGATTCACCCAAATATGGCTTTTTGAAACAGATACCGTCTGGACTATAATTGTTTCTAACACATTTTAGCTTTGAGTGAGATTTTAGTTATTGAAAATGATTTTTGATTTGCAATCGCATTATTTATGTCGTGTCCAGTTTTAAATTCGCACATTTTAAATCGATTTTTAGGAATAGCCAATTTAATGCGAATATGTAAACAAGATTTCTAAGAAAAAATGTTTATTCTTTTTTATTTAAATAGAAATCAATAAGTATACATTTTTAGTTTGGGTTTACGTTCCCGTTTTGGTGAGTGTGCAGACTGCAGAGTGTGACTAGTAGTTTCTAGAATGAAAGAGGAAGCGTCCTAACTCCACTCTGCCTGACTGAAGAAGTTTCCTTTAATTCCTTTGTTTTGTTTTATTGTCATATTGTGGCCAGGGCCAAAGTCTGTGGAGAGATGGAGAATATGAATTTGAACGTAAAAAAGGTTGCTGACGGCAATGCCCGATGTAAAGTATTTGCATAGTGTATTCATGATTATTCATTAATATAGCAAATTTTGGATTTAGAGATTGACAATTTAAGAGACAAGGATGTAGACAATGACTTTATTTAAAAATTTTGTCTTAACATAATTTTCGACTAATTTTGACGTAGATCATAGCATAGGGAGTGCTACTTATACCCTATGACATTGGTAAATCAAGTAATTTTTTCCATATATAATTGTAAAAACGAGTAGTAATTCAGAAAAACTACTTTCTGTTTAATAGGGGACATCTCTGTCCCCTTTTCAGATATTTACTCTTAAATGTTTCGATGCACACCTTTCAGTTTCTACCAAATATACAACAACAACAACAACAACATCTCTGTCCCCTTTTCAGATATTTACTCTTAAATGTTTCGATGCACACCTTTCAGTTTCTACCAAATATGTTTATTTCTCAATGAAATCTGTCACTTATGGATATAATTTTTATAAGATATTTATATTATCAGCTCTTAGTTTTACCTCTTTATTTTTTTCGGTTTAGTGAGTAATAGAGTGTGATGACTGTGATGTTATCCAATAATAAGCATGTAGCCCATGGACTAGTTGTTTCCCGCAGTACCAGCACCAGAAGTTAGCAATCTTGTCTGTGAGGTTTGATATCTTTTGCATATCTAGATTTCGTTTATAGAAGAATATTGTTCGACTTCATTTGATAGAATTTTTTAATTAGCTTATTACCTTAGTAAAGAGTAAGTATATTTACCAAACTAAAAAATAAATTTATTAGAAGGAAAAGCCAATCCTTATTCTATTATTTCTAATTCTTAGAACGAAAGGCTTGCACGCAGTGATGAAAATTGAGTTACTTATCTAATTAATTAATGTTTATAGATTTTTTCTGTTAGAAATGAAATTTTAAATAAAATGTATTAATGAAAATGTCGAAGAAATTATTAAAATAACAATTTTGCATTTTTAAAAGAATCATTGGCTTAAAATTATCATTTTTTTGAGGACTATACCCGCGACTACCTCTAGCAAACTGCAAAATTCTGTTCGACATTTTCATAAAAAAATCAAATCAAGTGGGGAAAAGACAGAATTGAATTTTGCTGGAAAGCCTAAATTTTGAAGTTCCGTGACAGCTAGTTAAACGGTTAAACTTTAATAACATTTATGTTCTGTTATACAATTATTCTGACAGTATCAAGAATTTAATATAAGATTAACTATTAGATAAGATAAGGTTTTATATAATGGTTTATGGCTAATAACATTTCTGAGAAAATTATTGATTTTGACAAGTTTTTGTTTTAATTAATTCGCAATTTTCAGTTTTAAAAATATTTTGTTAATATTTTAAATTACTTTTTTTAATAGTCGATTGAAAAATAGTGTTTCAGTAACTGTCTTGATATCTAGATGGAGATGTAAAAGTTAATAAGAAGAACTGTATTACGTATTACCAGTTTCTTTACTCAGAGGCTTCATAAATGTTTACAAGCCGTGTGACCCTTGAGATTAATCAACCCAACAGAAACTGCCTTGGTGTCTAGATTGCAGATGTAAGAGTTAATAAGAAGAATTGTATTACGTATTACCAGTTTCCTTACACAGAGCCTTCATAAATGTTTACAAGCCCTGTAACCCTTGAGCTTAGTCATCCCAACAGTAACTGCCTTGGTGTCTAGATCGTAGATGTAAGAGTTAATAAGAAGAATTGTATTACGTATTACCAGTTTCCTTACACAGAGCATTCATAAATGTTTACAAGCCATGTGCCCTTGAACTTAGTCAACCCAACATTGCACGACTGGTTCTGGTAACGAAAAATCCCTAAATCTTGGCAATATCAATATTAATGATTTCGTTTACAATGAACAGCAATAAACTGTTATGCCTACACTCGAGATAATCCGGCCACTGATTGGTTGATAGAAACTTGTGAAAAACTACACCAATCACAGTCGGTGAAACAGAATTTTGTGTTTTAATGTAATCTTGATCTTATTGTTCTAATATATCATTTTACAGAAACTTCATTGCCAACACGAAGGAAATAAAATTGCTGTTCCAAACAAAATTACTGGTCACAAGGCTTGTAACCATTTATGAAGGCTCTTATTAATGATTAAATTTAAAATATTAAAATTAGAATTATAATGTACCTATTTATCCACCAAAGATTTATTTCAATTTTCAAATTAACAAAGAGTGCATTAGTGCAAAGTATCAATATAACAACATAAAGAATAATAATTTAGTTAATCCCTAGAGAACTAACAAGTGAATCAGCTTTAACGATGTATTGTTCTTTAGCTTGATCCTGAGACACTCCTTTCTTTGCATTCCATGCATCCCATTTGGCTTTACCCTTTAAGTCTAGAAGTCCTGGACGGTCTGTAATAAAAACAAATGCATTATTTGCACATATTGAAACCAAAACATTGATTTAACATTATTCAACTTAGTACTTGTTTTTACTTTTAAGAAAATGAGAAATATCAGAAAATTAAAATGTCTTCCAATTGAAGAAACAATTTTTATAAAAGCCACAATTTTTAATTAAAATATTTGGCAAAAAGGTACTATAGATAAAAGACATAAAAGATAATTAAACAACTTATAACTTGCAGTCTATTGATTAATACTACCTATATTATTTATCATGACATTTCTGGTCAAATAGAAGTTTAAGCAAATCACATTTTTCTGAATATCCACGTTTTGTCTCTTTATTGAGACATTCTGAATATGTCTTCAGCATTATGAATAACATAAATGTGTAAGACAGATAATGTAATAATTAGAGTTTGACACTTTGGTGCATACAAAAGACGTTGAGGCAGGGTACAAGAGGGTTGTATTATATGCCAGTTCATCTTACATATTAATACGGGTCACTCCATCTAAATTTATTTCAAAATATCTTTTGAGTTGTCTACCAAATTTATTATTATTTTTCCTGTTTTATACTGTAATGAAGCTGTAATAAAACATATTTGTGAAACGATTTTGTTTTCATTATGTGCCTAAGTGGCCATTGCTCCGAAGATGTTTCATCCTTGGGGGGAAAAAAAAGAAACTGACGGTTACTACAGGGTAGGGGTTGGATTTAAATGGAAAAAAATGTGGGAATATCGACGGGTATCCAGATACCTTTATACTCGATAAAAATTTGGTGGCTGGGTAATACTTTTAAGGATGAGGTACACGATACCCATTAGTATTGGCTACACCTTCAGTTCCTCATATCTACAATGTGCATCGACTCTGTCGATAATTTTATTTACATCTTTTATCAATTTCTATCTTGTTTTGTTGGTTGTCGGCACGCGGTGCATGACATCCTGTCACTATCAGTGACAACTACTGACAGCCCATCTCCTCATAACGTTAGAAAGTATCAACATAACATCAAAATCAGTCGTCCCGATGTTGCGACCGTATGTATTTCTTATAGCTTAAGGGGGAAGCGTTAATATGTACAATTTTTTTGTCCAGCATTCTAGAAAATTTAAGCAAGTAAGAAACAATATCTCTTCACTGTACCAGTTATATAAGTTTTCTTCAGGGTATAAGACAACTTATACCTAATACATTCAAAATAAGGAGAAAAGTATAAGTATTTTTACCTTTTATGTTTATCTTACGTTTCTTAAATTTTGCACGCCTGTTGAACATACAGAAAATCGCATACAATATTACAAACATAATCACACCCCGCAGAATGCTTTTAGGACACTATTAACACATACATTAATTACAACTATTGATTTACTTTATAAATTTGTTGGACAAAACAGGAAAGGTACATTTTCTGATGTTTACATGCGAAAAATTAAAGGAAGTCGCTCTAGTTTAGCGTTACATTTCGTCACTTCTTGTATGGATCTACTTGTTCTATTATTGTCTCACTAAAAGTACGATTTCTTGTCTATAAAACGCCATCCTTAGAAATTTTGTTTGGTATTACCGTAAATCCATATGTCATGTTGTGCCTTGTAAAAAAATCCGCGGCCTATAGAAAACAAATAAGTTTAAAATCAAACGTATAAAATTTTATGGTAAAAATTGCATTATATTTTACTTTAAAAAATTAATATCACTGATTTTTTCGTACAAAACGAATGTTTAAGGTCTAAATTTATATACCAAATAAATTTATTTGATTTACTCGCGACAAATTTGTTTGAATAGGCCGCCAAAACGGTTGCTAATAAACGACAAGTTCGCTGTTTGTTTCTATGTCATCAAGGAGCGTAAACATGGCCTTACTTCCACAAGACAGGAGTGTTTCACCTATTTTCCCTTGATCTATGGACACAAAAACTTTGTAACAACGAATAACCATCCCGATTTTCGCGGGACATCTCAACTTTTGGTCATTTTTTTCACGTCCCACCTAACCCTCTGGGATTTCCCGAGTTTGGCGAATTCGGAAGATTATTGCATTTTCGGCGATATCTTTACCACCGCCTTTTTAAGGGTAGCCGTTTTCATTTTTAAATAATTTTCAGATACATCAAAATGTTATAGATACAGTAAAAATGCCGTATATTCAAGGTTTAGCAGAAAAATATTTGATAATAGGTTTAGTTTCCAAACAATAAGGACAATTTAATGAAAGAGTCGAGTTAAACTTACGAAATTATAGACCGTTTAAAGTATATCTTTTGAATGTATGTAATCAGAAATGGAAATTTTGAAAAAATGATGCGAAATGGTCAATAAAATTCAATAGAATAACACAAAAATTTGGAATTCCGTAATAGGAAAACTGAATGTCGGCATTTATTTTGCTAAAAAGTAATAAATAAATGCGTTTCAAATAATTCCGTAGATTTTGAGAATTGTTGATTGAATATTCTCAACTAATAGGTAAATAATAACAGTAATAAATATCATATGATATCTCACAACTCTATGGAAGGTAGATAAAATAAAACAAAAAAACAATCACATTTGGCTTTAAGTAAATCAACTAAATTTTGGTCACAAAGTAATGGCTTTGATAACGAAAACAGAAAGTTTTTCGGATCATGTAATGTTACATTGATTATTGTGTAATCCTTAAAACTTATTATATACGTTCTTAGTTTGACATATTTCTGATTTTTTCTTTACAATATAGCAAAACTGCCCAATCATATAGAAAGAGAAAATCAAGTTTTGTTTTTGTTATTTATAATGACATTTATTGTGAATTATTACATATGAATTAATATTTTTAATTTGTATGTAATTTTGTATATTTATTATTTTATATAAAAGTTATCAATGGTTGAACAATTTATGGACTGGTTACCAGGTCGTCGGTATAGGCTTCTTGAAGTCACGAGAGACATATCGCTTTCTTCTTCAGTTGAAACTCTGAAACCTAGTGTTGGAGTTTCTTCTGAAGAAGAGATCGATATCTGTCTCGAAATGACAACAATCCTAAACCAGCGACGTGGCAACTACCTTGGAAATAATTCAGTATTTAAGTGTGATATATTTAAACTGAAAAAATTGCTATTGACAATCAGCATTCCGATTTTTTATCTCGCTTTTTTCTCAAAGTGGTCCCAAAATTTTATTAAGGGCAATTAGTAACACTACGAATTACACATACCATTAGATGTACCGTAACTTATCAGACATGTGAATCATGCTCAAATATAATGTATTACAATAACGCTCATCAGTAAATTATACCTATGTTATGTTGTTCATTGAAAATCCATTTCTGCTAGTATAAAGATGATTCAGTAAAGAGATGAAACAATAACAATCGGAAAATTCTGTTTTTCCTAAACTTCCATTTGGACAGAAATCGTATTGTAGAAGATATATTGACTATTAATAGTTGAACCACTTATTTCAGATTTTATAACTTCCATGATTTATCCACTAAATATTTTGATGCCAAAGATTTTTTTATTTATACAATAGCTATGGTTTAAAAAAATATTTAATATAGACTTTTGTACCTGTATTAACATCTCCCACAGTTGCTTGTTTGAAGAGAGCATAGATTTCCAACAAATCGTTATCGGAGGGTTTTGATTTCAAATTCTTGACATTTTCAGCAGCTTTGTTGAATTTCTGAAAAACATAACACAATTCATAAAAATGTGTAAGTTCAGTTGCTTAGTTAAAATGTAAATTATTAGAGAGTGTAAAAAAACGTTTCTAAACATCTCAGAATCTACATTACATAGCACTTTTGGAAAGCAGTAATCGTGTTAATCAAATCAATATAAGATCATTGCTCCAAAACCGTTCACATCCAAAATGTTCGAAAAAAACTAATCATATCAAATTTTAAATTTAGGAATAGTTGCCATACATTTCTAATTCCTTTAGATCCAAAAACAGCTATTAGTGGTACTATTAGTCTAAAATCGTAGTTTTCGAAAATCCCTTTTTATTTAGTATTTACTCAGTAACGAATATAACGTTGTCAATGAATATTGGATATAGTTAAAAAATTGAATTTAACTATTATGTGTATAAAAAATAAGAACGAATTGATTAAATAATAGACTGACAGAATAAGAATGAAAATGTTTTAAAAATTTAAATGGTATCTAAACGTTCCGTTGGAGTAAATGTGCCTATGATTAAAAAATTCGCATGAATTCATTTGAGCGTAAAGCTAACTATTAAAAAGTAATGTTTATAGTTTTTAATAATTCCGTGAAACTAATGGTTATTGCAACAGAATCAGGCAGTCATGAATTTGTGCAATGAAAATTGATTTAATACAGTAGTAAAGTTAATGATCAAAATGAGCATTTATTCAAAAATTAATAATAATTAATCGTGTAAGGTCAAAGATAACAAACGCTGTCAGTCAAAACATTTAACTTCTCAGATAAATTAAGTCTTCGAATTCGAATCCATTACCTAAAGGTACATTGCATGAAAAAATGAGTATGAATATTATTTTTTAACGCGTTAAAGTTAATATTGTAGAACGACTGCAGCTGCAATACATTAATCTGACGCCACCGTTATAATAACACTCTTCATCGATCATGAACACTGCCATATAAATGCAAATTGAATAAATTCCAGTCTGGGTCCAAGCAAATAATTCGAAGAACACTTCCAACTTTAAGACTTTTATTTTCAAGTACAACTTTACTCCCACTGCGTATCCTTCAACGTTTACATGCATTTTAAAAATCTAGAAAGATCTAAACATTTGTAAATATAGTATCTCCATATTTTCAATTCCCACAATAGTGTGGTATAATAGGTGTTTTTTTTATCAGAAACTTTCAAATATCTCGAAAAATAAGCACTCTACGAATGAAACGTACATAATCAAAATTTAATCATTCCGCAGAGGGTATACGTTAGAGCTAAAATTAGTCCCCCTCTTCCCTGCTTATAGGTGTGGCGAGGGGTAACTTTGAAATCTTAAATAGGAACTCCCATATTTTATTACAGATTTGGATTCTACGGCTAAAAGTACGTGGGATTTTGCACATTTCGAATAACTGGGAAATTGTTACCTCTAGAAATGTAAATGGCTCGTGAAAAAACTACTTTAGCCTAACCCAGGAACAACGACGTTGCTTCTCTTTCGGTGTACCTACGTTTATTTTGCGTTTTTACAGTTACAAAATTATTTGAAAGCAGATTTAATTAAGCACTCCGATAAGTCATAAGCGAAGGAAATCACGTTGGCCAAAGAGAAAGCCTGTTTCTGGATGACGATAAAAGTATTTACAGTGAAAACATGGTTTTTTATGGCAAACGTATTGTAGAATCGTATGCATAGGTTCTCGGTAGGAGAAATAAAAGAAACTGAATTTCGTCGATTACAGCGAAACGAAAAAATATTTCAGACAAATCTTACGTACTTTTAGCCTTAGAATTCGAATCTATAATAAAAACCAGGAGTTCCTATTTAAGATTTCAAAGTTACCAGGAGTTCTCGCTCTTTTCAATTCTGGAATATGAAAGTAAATGATATATGTATTTAATTTGACCCCTACTTTTCAGCTTCTTTATGCACCACTGCATGCAATATAAAAAAATATATTTACCCTTTTTCGCCTCATACTAACCACAGTTAAACTATGTTAATTATAAGTATTATATATATACCTACTATTTAATTTTTCTTTTCAATATTAGTTTCAGCAACAAATGTTAAACTGTAAATTGTTTTAGAGATTATAACTATTGTATTACAGAAGTCCTAAGTTCAAGGTAATTAATTGTAAAACGTTTGATAATTCATGCATAAAATTAAGTAATTTTATTTGAAAAATTATTTTTACTTTAACCGTACATGTTTGTAATATTATATATTATTTTACCATCAGCGAAGAAAATAAAAATATGTAAAATAAATTTGCAAATATGTAAATAAAGTAAAAACTAAAATTATGCCACATACAAATAACTTACGACAATACAATGTGTCCACGGATGGAGTTGAAAAGAGGAAATTTAATTCGTACAGGGTGATTTTACAACGAATTTTCAAAAATTGTCAAGAGTAAAGTACCTTTGTTTTTAAAAATATTTTCTTTAGTTGTTGAGAATTAAAAGTTATGACAGATTGTCAATTTTCAATTTGATCGGCCAACGTTGTTTTTTTTTTATTTTTCACAAACAAAGTATAAATTCCTAATTATTTATTAGGAAAAAATACATAACTAATATAATTAACATAAATAGACAAATAATATAAAGGTTATTCAAATTTGCTGCCACCAACCACTACACATCACCAAGCGCGTTCGGTAAATTCTGTGTAGGCGTTTTATATTTCCTGAATTGGGATGACATTATTTGTATCTCTTATGCTTCGTTTGAATTCAAATAAATCGGTATTTAACGGGGACCCATAGAATTTCTGCTCGAGATAACCCCATAAATAAAACCCCATTAGAGTTAAATCAAGGTTTCTGGGTTACCAAGGAATTGGGCCATTTCGCCCAATCCACCGCTCAGGAGATTGACCATCTATATAGCTATTCTCGAACGATTCGCGTTGAATGCGCTGGTTGTCAACTTGTTGGAAGTAAACTGAGTATCTATCGTTCAGAAGCATATTATTCAAATGATCAAAGAGGAAAGTGTCCAATATTTCCAAGTAGCTGTACTAGTTTATATTTCACTCAAAAAAATAAGGGCCTATAATCCCATCGTAAGAGCTACCATACCATTATGTACTTTTTTATAACATTGTCTTCTGCAGGGAACTCGAAACTCTGAATTTCCCGTGGACCAATACCGTAAATTTTGAGAACTTACAGCTCAGTACAGAAAGTGGATTCGTCAGAGAAAATAATATTTTTAGGACAATTTTGATTTTGAGAAAATTGATCACCATACCACAAGCAAAAACTAATTATGCCTCGTCATTTTCTTCTAATGTGTGTATAAATTTAGCTTTGAATAGTTTTATTTTATTAACCAAGTGAGATTTACTAATATAACCAATTCTCATTTGAACTACTGCCATGACCGCTAAAAAATTGTTTTTGAAAGAAATTGAATTTTATGTCTACAATAGTCGTTTTCACCCACGTAAGAGGGTGAAAGGGATAAGATGAGGAAGGAGGTTTAGAATGGTATTCTTTGCACCGTCTGATTTAAGTTGCTCAACAAAATATATATTATATTTTACAAAGTGGTTCACAAATAATTCATTGTGTAATTATAAATTCTTTTTTCACCCCCATACAATGGTTGTTTTGACTGTGTTCACGTCGCTTTCGGGAAAAACAAATAGCATATTCGTATTCAGCATCACAAAGAACAAAAATACTGGTTTCATACTTTTCCTTTGGTAGCCCAAAATTGCCTGTTTTTTTTATTACAAACTTTTATTTAACTTGCTTTGTTAGGCCGGTTTCACACTAGCCGACACGACACCGGCACGACAACGATGTCGGTGGATGCTTAATCTCATATAAATAAATGGTCATGTTTTCACACTCGCCGATATATCGGTATCATGTCGTGACAGGCTACTCCACTCGTGTCATCACTGATTTTGTGTCGGTATCGGGCGTTTTCACATACAGGGATGGCCAGAAGTAAGGAATAAAATTCATGAGTTAATTTTTTTTAAAACGCCGAAACACGTTAACTAATTTTAATTTTTTCCCATCTTTCGGTTATATAATAATTAATTTTTCTTCAGCCCCCTAACCCCCAACTACCCCTACTTTTTTTTCAAATGTAAACATAAGGCATTAGGGGGCTCGTTGAAAAGCTTATAGAAAACCGAATCCAGCCATACCAAATAAACAAGTTTTATTTTCTCAATAGCAAGGTTTTTAGGGTTGTATAAAACACCTACTTAAAATACACCTAAATAAAATTTAATTAACTTCAGTGTTATTCTCCATGAATTTGCACAGAATAAAATAAAGAATTGAAACTGTTAACGCAAAAAAGATATATTTTTTATGTTGCGTTTTTTTGATACCACTTACTTGACAGGCTTTCTGGTTAATTTTTCAATTTAGTTGTAAATTGGAGTTGAAACGTTACTATTGTGTCAAAATCAAGTTATTTACTGAATTGCAATGGTATTGTCGGAAAGGCAACGCATCGAAATCTTGATATTGCTTGGATGTGGAGACAAAATAAGAAGTCAGGCTGAAGTGCGCGATTTATTTAATGCGAAATATCCCGAAAACCAAATCTCGCAAGGGACAGTTAGTAAAATATTTCACAAATTTGAGGAACACGGTACAGTACAGACTTTGCCCAAAACTGGACGGGCACGTGCTTTGAATGAAGAAAAGAAATTAGACATTGCATTAGAACTTGTTGAAAATCCTCATACTTCAACTGTTTCATTGGCCCGCAATCACGATGCTTCTCGAACTGCAATTCGAATGTTTCTGAAACAAGAGAAATACCACCCCTATAAGGTATGTCTTGTCCAAGAGCTTTTGGAAGACGATTATGATAGGCGATTACAATTTTGTGAGGAAATGATGAGACGGTGTGACGACAATAATGGTTTTCAACGAGACGTACTTTTTTCGGATGAAGCTACGTTTTATTTAAATGGAGTGGTTAACAGGCACAACTATCGCTTTTGGTCCCAGGAAAATCCACAC